TAATCCCATACACTGGTTTAATCCCATACACTGGTTTAATCCCAGACACTGGTTCAATCCCACACATTACAAAAACTGTCACCAAGTTTTAAACCTTATATCAGCCAAAAAGTCTTTTTGATCTTGTTTTCAGACTGATTTACTAAACAAGAACTGATTGTGTAAGAATAATCAGAATGAGTAAGAAATTTAACTCAAATTAAGTCAAAAATTTCTGCCAATGGAGTAAGAAAATTTTACTTGGTAAGATTCTTGCAATAAGAGAAATTTGAGTCAAATCAAGTATTTTAAGAATCTTACCAAGTAAAATTTTCTTACTCCACTGGCAGAAATTTTTGACTTAGTCTGAAAATGTGACTCTAATTAACAAGACAAATAATCTTACACATTCTGAAAACAAGATGATTATTCTTACACAATCAGTTCTTGTTTAGTAAATCAGTCTCAAAACAAGATCAAAAAGACTTTTTGGCTGATATAAGGTTTAAAACTTGGTTAGGTGGACAGTTTTTGCAGTGTACAGTCTGTGTTGTAACAACGCTCTGTTTACATGCAGACATTCCTCTCTGACATCACTTCCTGTTTCTTCACATTCAAATATCTCAACAACTGTTCATCTCAGCGACGTGAAACTTGTTTTGCAACATGTTATCAGTGTTATCTTGGCAACAATGCATTCATATTTATTACAAAAATGTGACGTCACAGGCACTTTAAATGTGAAAAAAACTTTACGGCTTCCCTTTTTGTCACATTCTTCTCATGACAACTTTCAAGGCAAGAAAATTAAGTTAGAATTTTGAATGCTGGATTGTGGTAAAATGTATCGCTAAGAAATAAATGAAAAAGTTTTTAATAGAGAGTAAAGTACAAGAAATTTAATCTTTTTCCTTCATCCGTTACACTAAATGTTACAGAATACATAATTTGGAAAAGGTCATCTGTATTTCTATAAAGATAATTTGTTATTTAACATTTTTTCATTAAATTAGGACATAAATTGGCCCTTGGCTTGGACCAAGTTGTGTGACTCAGTTTGACCCCCTGGTGTAGAGCAAAGGGTTTTAAAGGGTTATATAAGGTCAACGACAGAGCAGATGAGACCGTCTTATTTACATTTATAATCATTAAACTGACTAAACACTAGGGTTGGGACATTAATCACCATTGATTGTTGCATTTAGCCGATGATGATTAATATGACAATTAACCCTCGGGTCCCTGGATGAGTCGACACATCTTAGTCACATTTAAATCCCTCTATATCAGGGTGGGCAATCCTGGTCCTGGAGGGCCGCAGCCCTACATGTTTTAAGTTTTTCCTGCTCCAACACACCTGATTCAGTCACTGATTTACCTTCCGAGTTCTGCAGTACGGAGGACCGACACTGACATAATTATAAATAAAAACAGAAATATATAAATGAACCACTAAATTAATAAATACACTTAAAATGCACCAATTCAATTAAAAAAGAACTTCACCTCATGTTTTGTAATTTAATTCTCGTTTAATTGATATTTTTTTAACACAATTCAAATTTGACTGTTTTTTAAAAGATATATTTTTCAGTTTTACTTTTTACTTGTACGTACATTTGTCTCTTAAATGTTTAAATTGAAATATTTTTATAGTTTTGTCCCACAAGTCTTTTTTATTTCGATGTGTTGCAGGCGTGTGCTGCCTCAGTTTAGCTTAAAGTTTAGTTAAAAACAACGGCACGGGTAAGTTTTCTCCTTACC